TAGCAGCAAGAGAAATTACATAGTGACACCAGAAGTGATGTAATACATATAACTTCTGAGTCCAGTGATCAGAGGAAAGATCAGCAGCTGGGAGTGTGCTGATCTCTGTCCACTTGAAGAGGACAAACCCGTTGTGCTGGTCCTGCGGAATGTGGGTGGGTGGGAACACTCGGCGCCACTGTACATGCGAACCAATCACTTGTATATGAAACATCCATCTCTGGCTGTTTTTAAACGGCTGCAGCAGCTGTGATCTTGGTAAAACTGCTTCAGGAATCCATGGTTTATCTACCAGAAGCAGTTACACCTCAGTTTAAGGTCACTTGTTATCTGCTGTTAGTTATACTTTCTGGAGTGAAGATCTATGGGGGGGGGTGTCCTTGTACTGGGATGCTCCATGGTGTAAATGCCCGTGCCTTTACATATAGGGCTTGAGTAGATGATAGTCTTTTTTTTCTCACATGCTGGATATGTTCAGTGTGAGCTGTAACATTGATATCTTAGTTATGCTTTCTGGAGTGGTGCTCTTGGGGTGTCTTTGTATTGGGATGCTCCACTGTAAACTATATGGGGTGTACTGATTGCTTGTGGCTTCACATAAAGGGCACTAGTAACTGATGGTCTTCTTTTTTTCTAAATGCTTCTGAGATAATTGATTTGACCTGTAACATGGACAGCTCAGATCTGCTATTAGTTTCTTTTTTCTTGAGTGCTGCTTTATGTCTATGCAGGGCTAGCGGTACCGTAAGGCTGCATAGGTAGCTGCCTGAGAGGGCGGGGGGAGGGGGCGGAAAAATGCACCTTCACCTATTTGGTCAGAAATCCTTGCACCAATCAGATGTCACCAGCATCCCGCTACAGCTGATTGAGCGTGCACTGAAGCCTAACACAAGCTCATCAATATTAAATACCACCATCCTGCAGACGTGGGGTACAGCTCATATACACATGAAGTTACTTTACTGCTCTGCATAGTATTCATGTACTTGCCCAACTAGGGGTGGTGGTATCTTACAGGGAAAAAAAAAAACATCCACAATGGTTTTTATGAGTATGACCCAGGTCTGCTACAACGAGAAACTTTAAGTAATAGAATACTGACAGCATCTCAGGTATGAATGAAGGCTGCAAACAGATTGCAACCTTTATTTATATGTAGTTGTTCTATGTAGATGAAAGTATTATATATTAATCTGAAAATAATGCTAGTTCCAGAAAATCTATATTTATAAAAACAAATAAATATGTTTTTTTCTTCCTTGAACAGTGTTCTTATATATCTCTGATTAACCCTTTGTAACCCTAATTCATTTTTATTAGCTGCTGTCTCTCCTTATTTTAACTGTTAATAGTATAACAATAAAATAAAATGTGCATATGAGTTATAACCTACCGTAGCTACCAGATGAAAAAACACATTTTGGAAGAACATTACTGAAAATCTGGCTCTGTTTTATCATGTCAATTATAACTAAATCACACTGCCAATCACCAGTTTCCCTTCTTGCCGGCAGTGTGGTGTTAGGGAGTAGGGCAAACAATAATTGCCCTACTCGATAACACCACACAATCTCTTAACAATCTCTTATCTCCTGTCTTTGGTGTCATATTTATAGTAATGTTGCCAACATGGGAACTCTGCATTGTATTAGACTGGAGGGTGGAAAATACAGTCATACTATGCATTTGCTGCTGACATAATGCCACCAGCACATTGGTTGTCCAACAAACTTATGTCACTGATGCATTCATCCTCTTCCCTCATCCTACTGTACAATTTTATTACCCACTGCTAAGGTAGGGTTTTGTTGCTATGGTGACATACCCTATTATTTGTAAAGCAATGAAAAATTAAATCGTTTTCCAGAATACAGCTGCAAATAATTAGTGATAAAGGGGAATAGAATAGTTGGAACATTGAAACATTTCTGACTCACTGGTATATATATATATATTAAGATTGATCTAATATGTGCAGAAACATACAGTATCATATTTGTCTGGATTTCTAAATTGCATGATTAAAACAAGTCTTCTGATATATTTATACCTACTTACATGAAGCTAGAGGAAACCTGCTGTGAGGGAAATAGTTTACCACCATTGTTAACCTCTCCTTTTAAAAATGCTGGTTGCTTGACTGTCATGCTGATGCTTTGTTTTCAGTACTTCTGGGCAGGACAGCCATCAGAAATTTCGGGGCCCCCTACACGGCTTTAGGCCGGGCCTCCCCCCTCCGCACCGCCCGGTCCCCATACAGACCCTACCCCCCCCACGCGCACCGCCCGGTCCTCCCCCGCACCGTTATTATTATACATTTATATATAGCTCTGACATATACCGCAGTGCTGTACAGAGAACACTGAGCCAGTCACATCAGTCTCTGTACAGAGGAGCTTACAATCTAATGTCTCCCCCACAGTCACATCAGTCTCTGTGGTGGTGACATTAGAGTGTAAGCTCCTTTGTACAGAGACTGATGTGACTGTGGGGGGGACATTAGAGTGTAAGCGGCGGATCCAGATATCCCTGGATCCGCCGCTGCAGCTTTGTATAATGTATTGCTGGAATTCAGTGGCGTAACTAGAACCTTCAGGGCAAGAAACTATGAAGGGCCCCCCTAAGCCCCTGCCGCCATGAAACTGTGTGGTTAACAGGAAGGCTGCCGAGGTCCCCAGCAAGCGCGGGACCTCATGTAGCCGCTTCAGTTTAAACATTTTGTGCCGGTGTTCTGTCGAGAGCGCCAACCCAGTATCTGCGTTTGCACACAGACGGATCAAGGTTTCCTCGATCATACTGGTCTGTGCAGAAGCGCAGATGCTGAGGTCGGCAAATTCTATTACGTTGGTATTCTAGACAGAACACCGGTATCTGTGTTTAGTATCAGGGCATTTTCACCAGTATGAGTACTTGTGAAAATGCCCAGTATTGGCACCGACTGGTGCATACCTACTTAAAAATATAATGCATTGCTGGGACTTCTAGTCCTTCATAGTTGGTGCTATTCTGCATTGCTTTATAATGATTACACAGCAATGCAGAATACCACCAGCTATGCAGGACTAAAAGTCCCAGCAATACATCATAATAAAAATCAGGGGGATGCTGAATACCACCAGCATCCCCCTTCCCCCGCGCCCCCCCTTCCCGGTCCAGACTTACCTGACTCTCATGCAGGACCCTCTTCTGTGTCTCGGCGGCCAGGTGGCGGGGCTAAGAGGAGAGGGTCCTCACACAGAAGAATGTGCTGCCTAGCGGTGCCTGCAGTACATTCTGCTGGACTAGTGACAGCCTCCCCAGCCCCGCTGCACAGCCGCCCGTACATGCTGCGCGTGGCAGAGCGGCGGGGAAGGAGCGGCACTATCTCCTCTTCTTCCTCTCTGGGCCCCCACTAACAGGCGGAACGCCAAGGCCCGGTCGCAATTGCGACCGCTGCGACCCGGTAGTTACGCCAGTGCTGGAATTTGTAGTCCCGTAATCATTATACAGTTATGCAGAATACCACCAGCTATACATTTTACATAAAGTGAGCAATACTGCCACACCAATGAGAGGCTGAGGATTTCAGGACAGCAGCGGCTCCCCCCTCCACTGACCTGCACACCCGACCCGCTGGACTGACCGGAAGTGACGTCACGTCACCAGCGTGACGTCACGTCACCAGCGTGACGTCACTTCTGCCTTCAGACGAGCAGCGACGCTGATGGGGCCCCAGCTTGTCTTGCAGCCGCTGGAGCGGCAATGCTGGGGCCCTGCACTGCTAGAGCCAGGCCTCCACCGCTGCTGCTGCCTCCTCGCCCTTCACCGTCGGCCGATACTCATGTATGGGTCCCGGGCGGGCCCCGTAGGCTGCCCGGGCCCTTTACATGAGTATCGGTGTTACCTCCCTGACGGCGGCCCTGCTTCTGGGACAAGAATAAAGATGAGAAATCTTGCATTTTTGCTGACTATAGTTTGCTGCTTTCACTAGATCAGTGAATTATTAAAACCAGATACGTTCACACAATTAGCATTTCATTTTCAAAAGGAAGACAGCAATGGCAGCCCCCATATATATTTCATGATCGGTGGACTTTAAAGTGTAACTATGGGCACCAGACACGTTCACACAAGTAGCATTTCCAAAAGAAGGACAGCAATGGCAGCCCCCATATTTATTTCATGATAGGTGGGCTTTAAAGTGTAACTATGGGCAAAACTAAACATGATATATAATGAAGTATATCACTATCATTATTACAGCGTTTTGAGTTTTTTTCTGAGTCTTCCATGTAACATACTTGTTGAGTCTGTCAGTAAATCAGTTATTGTTCTACTCCCTTAGGGAGACCACACTGTTTTGCAGTTTAATTGCATAGCAACGTTGTTGCCCTATGAATAGGATGAATAGATATGTGAACTTTAAGATAGAGAAAAGAAATTAAAGTCTAAGTTCAGCTAACACTTTTTATACAGCTGCAGCAACTTCGGAAAAAAAGTTTAAACCATATGAATGTTGTAAGCCACCTTTGCTGGTTTAACCTAATCCCCGTTACTAAAGTTTTCTTTTAGACAGTTTGGCATGTTAAAAAAGTGGAAAAATACCAGGTGCTATGGGAGACTGAGAAAAGCAAAAACTGCTGTGGTAATGCTGTTGACAGACTGCATCGTATACTATATGTCATTTTTGATTTGGTCCATAATTCAAGCTACAGCTTAGGACATTTGGGCATGTTGGATTAAATTATATAGAACGCAACAGCTAGTTATATTCTCAGTTTATACATGGGCAGGTTGTTTCTAGAATTACACTGAACAGAAACTGAACCTTAGCAGTTTTTTTTCCAAAGCAGCTCCAATCTCTTGGAATGTGTTATCATTTTATGAAACAAACATGGTTAAATAGATAATGACTAAACATTTGTTACATTTGTGTTTTTCTTGTAGTTCTGTCTTAAAAATTGACGTTATAACGATCTTACAGTGCTGGCAGTCATGTTTTTTTGCTTTTTCTGTAATAGCTGTGCGTGCTGACCGAATGCGAGGAGGACGCAACAAGTTTGGCCCCATGTATAAACGGGATCGTGCTTTAAAGCAACAGAAGAAAGCTCTTATACGTGCAAATGGTATTAAGATGGAAACTGTTCCCCAGATCGTATCCACTGTGCAAACTGACTACTCAATCGCCACCAACATTCACACTATCCACCCTGTATCTAAGAACTTGCCTTCAAACCCAGCTCCCATGACAACAGTTGAATATGATCGAAGTTCTTACGGTCCTCCTCCACTTGGAATGACTATCCCTAACCATGCTCCATTATCTGGCTACCATTATTCTTCATTTCAAAGTCGCACTATCAAATCTGAATACCCTGATCACTATTCAAATGTGCATGACCCAGCCACTGCAGGAGGTTATGTATATCCTGAGGCCTACACCAGCAGTTCTCCCCCAGACATTCCTGAAGTGATCCTTAAGCTATTGCAACTAGAGCCTGATGAACCTCAGATCAAGGCTAGGATAATATCTTGCCTACAGCAAGAGCAGAATAAAAGACATGAGAAACTCAGCATGTTTGGTTTGATGTGCAAGATGGCTGACCAGACTCTATTCTCCATAGTTGAGTGGGCTCGGAGCTGTATTTACTTTAAAGAGCTGGAGGTAAATGCATTTCTTATTATCAATAGCTTACTTTTATTTAACTATTATTAAGCAAGATTGTTTTATTTATTTTCATGTTGTTAAGGTTCATTTTGTTGATTATTTATTAAAGTACAGATAACATTAAAGAAATTAATAGATAGCACTACTAACTTCCTCCTCCTTCTAAAAAGTTTAGTTGCCTGGGTGTTTTAATTTAGAATTTTCAGCAGTACACAGAGTCACAGACCCAGAAAGTCAAAGCAAAAGTAAGACTTTCTTATACTTATGCTTGTTCTAAAATCTTTGGGTGTGTGGCAGTGCTGGATGAGATTTAGGGTTAATTTTTCTCCACCTTGGTGGCTCTCTAATGGATGGCTGATGTGACCATGTGTGGGTCCTTGGCTGGATGTACCCTCTAGAGTTCTAGTTCCTAGAAGTGTTGGAAGCTTACCGGTATGTAATGAGTGATGCATTTGAGTGTAAAGCGCAGAAAAAATTTGTTCTGGACTTTTTGGGGAATTTGTTAAAGGAATATAGGCAACGTATTTGGGGAGATTTTGACTTTCCCTTCCTCTGGGCTTTCAGTGATGATATTGGGCGATACCGTGGAACCACTTAAAAGACTGTTTCAGGGTTTTGGGGTTGTAACATAGTGTCAATGTTACTTTCCATGTGGCAAATACTTTTGTTCAGAACCAAAGTTTTCTGTGTATAAAGGTGCCCATACACCTTACAATTATCTGCAGATTTTCTGTGGTCAGATGGAAAAAGTGCAACAGATTGGCCCAGGTGGAGATTACTCCATCCACACAGTTAAGTGTAGATGGAGGAATCACTTGCACCTTTTCCATCTGACCACAGAAAATCTGCAGATAATTGTAAGGTGTATGGCCAGCTTAACACTCCAGAGGCTCCTCATTGCACACAAGTGATATGTTTTTCAGGCTGGTGAGTCTCAAAAAAGAAGTTAAAAAATTACAGCATGACAGCTAGCATTTCCAGAAGGAGATGCCAGCAATGGTAGACATTATATTTCTCTTATGACAGGTTTCCACTAAATTAAATTAGCAACAATCAAGTTATTTCAACTTGTTTTTTTAGCCCTATTAATAGAATATTTTTGGGGGGAACAGGGTATCAGAAGCCTAATAGTCCTGAAAGGAAAAAAAAATTGTCTGCTGTCCCAAAATAAACTGAAATAATCAGAAGGTACTTTGTGATGTTCAATTTCAAGTTTTTTTCCCTCTCAAATATCCATTCTAAATGAAAAAATAACTGTTTATAAAAAAGTAAAGGATTTGTTGTGAAAACCCACAGCTCAAAGCTAACTGCTTAGCTTAAAGAAAACTGGCTAAAAATATTTTTGCAATGACACTACAAAAAGACTGCATGCTTATATTCAGGACTGTTAAAAGTAACAAAATAAAAGTATACACCTTTTTTTCATGAGGATTAAACCATTCTCTATTTTCCAGTTCAAGGAACAGACTATGATGTGCTTTTCATTTTGACAAATCAACCTTAATCTTGACAAAAGTTGAACATACGTGCATATATATTATTTAATATAACAATAGACCATACATTTGGCCATCCTTCAAATTAACTCTAAATACTGCATAAAGGAAATTACACATTACCTAAGATTGTTCTCCCTTTTCCTTTAAAGCGACATTGTCATTAGACAAGTATGGGAGCTGCCATTACTGGTATGTTCTGAAAATTTTAGTTGCCTGCCTATATCTGACTTAAGGAAATTTAAGCCACAGACCTGGAACATTAATGCTGTAAATGAGTGTCAGAAAAGTGTGAATACTCGTTCCTGCTCAGCAAATTAGACAGCATTGAAGCCAAAGCTCCAGCATGACAGCTGGGCAACTAGCATTCTTATAATGAAAGACAGAGCCTCCTGCTCAGCTCCTGGCAACCAGTGATGTCACTGGTTGCCAGGAGCTGAGCAGGAAACCGGCCAGAGCATCCCAGGTTGTTCAGAGCTGGGAGGGGAGATGTGTATGGCCCTTTCACATCTCCCCGCCCGGCTCTTAGTAACCTGGGGCACTCTGGCAGGCTTTGTGAACCAACCCTCATGACAGCTCCGTAATGATTCCAGTCTCATTAACATTAGGATAGCATATTAAAATGAGGAACAACTAAATCCCTGCATTTAAGTGATAAACCTAATTTAGGTTCACCTGTCCCCCATGCTGCATACTATCTTAATTCCTTAGACTATTTACTGTAGATATGCACACAAAGGTTACAGTGTACATATGGTAAGATTGCTAACAATTGTGATTTAGTATGGGGTCTACAATACAGTTTCCTAATATAAGTCAGCAGTGGAATGTCGTAAGTGGGGGCATCTCTGAAAAAAAAATGTGATTTTGATTTGGCAACTTCTGCGCACTGTCATTTTACGTGGTTTACCACTTCATGGCTGAGTTGCTGTTGTTCCCAGTTGCTTCCACTTTGTTATAATATCACTAACAGTTTACCTTGAAATATTTAGTACCAAGGAAATTTCACGGAACACCTGAATCCAATGATTTGGAGGGGGTCCCAATACTTTTGGCAATATAGTGTATGTAGGGATATCATTAATAGTGGCAATATAAAATCAGAAAAATAAAAAAACAACACAGCTGTGCTGGAGGTATCACAGCGCACATTTGCTGCGGCCTCCGCAAGTTGTGTGTATACAATTTCATAGAAAGTAGAAAGTCCCTCTGCACTCCTCACAGCACTCCCGGCCCAGTGCTTGTAGTGGTGCTCGCTGTGACAATCACGGATGGCACCGTGCAACAAATAGTAGAAAGCAGAAATCACCAGCACTCAGTAAATATCTTTGATGTCCATTTTATAGGACCAATAGTCAATTGTCATTTACAAAATAGCGACGTTTCGGGACCGCACAGGATCCCTTCATCTGGGCAACAATGTAACATTAAAATTACAATAGTCGCCCTTATGAAGGGATCCTGTGCGGTCCCGAAACGTCGCTATTTTGTACATGACAATTGACGATTGGTCCGATTAAATGGACATATTTACTGAGTGCTGGTGATTTCTGCTTTCTACTGTATACTATTTCATATGCGGCTGCTTAGAATCAAGGTTCCAATGATAAATAGCCGTACATACACTTTTTTTTCACTCTGGCTGCACAGCAAACAGTTTTTTTTACATGCTTTGTTTGGCTTATGCACATATCATTACTAAATGAGTTGATCACATTTGTTTTTTTTTTTTTTCTTTTTCAGGTAAATTGTTGACACTCACATTTCTTAGTGCAATTTATCAGAACAGACGGCACAAAAGCAGCATTGTTTGGATGTTCATCGTGCACGGAAAGCTAAAATCGCACCTTACACATTGAACATCAGTGTACAATTTCCTAGATAGGTGCAGGGTTGGAGTTCATTATGTGCACATAGATTTGCATGCTCCTGTGAACCCACAGTGCAAGAGTGCCATAGATATTTGTCACTGCTTTTGTTAATTTCCTTTTACAGTGTTTATCAGTGTATAATAGTTATTTTTTTATGCATGGCAACTTGTGTGTTATATGCAGGGATCCTTAAAACATATGCATATGTGAAAGGATCTCTGAATGGAGAAACCACCAGCCCTATCAGCCACCGTGCCAGAGAGCCTTGTGTGGTGACGTCACTGCACCTGTTCATTCATTCTTCCTTTCTTCCATGTTGCACACTGATCACGGGTGCAATGCTTTACTGGGTTCAATGAAAAAAAATTAAAAATGCATATTTATTCTTTTATGTAGAAGTGTGCATTTAATGTATCTTGCACATAATTGGGGGTCACATTTCTATGAGAACAGCCTTTATTCCATTGGTCACTCAACCCTAATGTTTGACATTACCTATTGCCTAGAGTTGCTTTTTAAGCAGTATCACAGATAATTATTCTGAATATCATACATAGAACATATTAGCCTTTGCCACGAAGATTCTATTAATTCATTCACACCTCTTTATCAGAACTAATTGTTCTTTCCAGTCTTCACACACACACAAAAGGTATGCCTAGACACTGCATTTAACTGTTGTAGCATTCAGTATTTAGCAGACATTACAGAATTCTTTGTTACTAACATGTGTACTATTTTTGCTGCTCATTCCAAATGGCAAAAACAAGATCTATATCTGTGTGTAAAACCTTTTTGTGCACCAAAAATACAGAAAAATGCATTCCATTTTTCATTTAAAAATGCATGTTTTTTTTAATGTGCAGCTGTTTGAACTGATGCATGTGTAAGCACATTTATCAAAATTAGAATTAGAATTAATTTGTATTTTGATTTCCTCTTCTCCAGGCCAATTTCTGAGGCCTTTAAATATTGAGGGCATATTAGACTGTAATAGATTTACTTAGTCAGAAACATAACTGTTTGAGAATAGATACTCTCATTTGACAGGATGCCAGGCATGGGATGTGGTGTGGGCTTGCTGCTACCATAGGTCTGAGGCAATGCCTGTTGGTTCAAGATTTGTGGATATGTGCAGATTCTCCCTTATCCTAATGCACTTCATGGCCTTTAAACTATGGTCAGCAGGCTTAGAATGGTCAATAATGGAACTTTTGGATAAGCTATCACCCACACTTTAAATGAAGGGGGGGGGGTGGGGCAGCACAAAGCAGCCATAGTGTCAGTGTATTGGTTGCTTTCCAGAAATAAAAGGAAAGCTGACAGGCTGCATAGTGAGATATTTTTTGCATCGGTGTATATCCCCCATGGCAGTACTTCTGTTATCCAATCTTTAAGCAAAAGGTATCTGAGATGTTTTCCACAATCTAGGAATGGGTGCTCTGGCTGCAGCTAAAAGAAATCTAAACACCCCCCTCTTCACTACTCATATTGATCCTGGAATAATTGAAAATAAGGCAACCTCAGGTGTTTTAGGAATGGTCCCCCTTTCTGCCCCGCATCACCAGCACATCTCTGATGCCGATACAGAATATTTTGCAATATGTTCTGGACACTTATACCATCTCAT